GGAGGGGATGGAGGGGGTGGAGGGGGTGGAGGGGGCGGGGGGGGGGAGGGTGTTCTGTAAATGTGTGAATGTGGACTGACCATCATGCTGCAGTCTAAGGAGTTATTAGAAAGAAAGAAGAGAGAAGAGGAGGGGGAGGGGCGCAGGGGAGGGGGTTGTCTTTATGGAAATGAGTGGACGCACATCGCGTAACTTATTCCGCGGCAGCATCCGCAATACCGCTTTTCTGATCACCTCCGTCGGATCTTTCATCATCTGTTCAGCCACAGTCCTCTCCTTCAGGCCCCCTGGATACCTGCAATAAATGCCAATAAACAGGAAAAAAAGAAAAAATTTAAAAGACTTCAGACCACCACCATCCATGGGGGATATCATATGCTACCCTTTGTTTTTTGCATCACACGCTTATAGCCAACACATTATCCCGATCAGATACACACACATTGATTGAACGCAGGTATCCGGGCAGAATGAGGTCCAAGTGGAACTCTGCAACTGTATCAGATCCAGGCCATCGACTGGAAGTCAATCTGAGCCCTCGCATCCGGGAGACCAGAGGCTGGTCAACCTGTGACTGCACTACTTATCGACCCCCCGGCCCCTGTCATCGACATGCAGTCTTGCACTTGCTGTGCTGCTGGACGCTGGCAAGGCGTTGGCTGGACACTGGCTAGATGTACGCTGGCATTGTGTGTGACGACGATGCGAGACTGCTACATTGCGTACTGGCGCCTCTCTGCTCTTTCTGACGTGATGCTTGCCACATTGCCTTCGACACAGATTGGGGTATCGACGAGGAGGGAGATCAGGGCTGTGAGATTGGTTATGAGAGAGAGGGGGGAGCTTACCTGTTGATGCTGTCGACATTGCGCGCTGCTGGGACGTCTTCATGAGAGATCTGTGCCTACGTGGCACCAGGCTCTGATCGGTTCTTGCCAGGCTCGTCTTTGGCATGCTATTTGCTGACGTGGAAGAGGGGAGATGCTCGAAGCAGGAGTGGGATATGAGGGAGATATATCTTCGACGACATCGATGGATACTTTCTCTTCCACCCTCTCTAAGTCTTATCTCCCTCCTATACCCGCTTCGTCCTTTCGTTATGAGACATTGTACTTCAGCTCACATTCCATGATCATTGGAGGCATTGACAAGCGCTGAGATATCTTGTTTTTTTTGTTTTTGTTTTTTTTGTTTTGAAACCCCCCACCGGTGTTAGTGATGCTGATAAGAGCAGCGCTGAGATATCTTGTATTTTCTCGACATGGACGAGTTTCCTTCCAGAAAGGATTCATTACAAAAAAAAAAAACAAGGGCACATTGAAACCATTCAATTTCTTTTGCCTACCCCTCCACTACGACTCTCGCGTACAAGGCGCGCCACGTCGATGAAGTAGAGCGCGAGCTGCCGCCATCCCAGAGGTGCCGTAATGGCCCACTTGTACACTGTGAGAAAGAGGCAGAGTGAAGGGGGAGGGGATAAACACAGGGAAGAGAGATGGAGGGAAGCCAAACAAAGAATGATGAAGGGAAAGGAAGGGAAAGGAAGGGAAAGTATGGAGTGTGGAGTGAAGATGAAGGTAGAAAAGGATAAGAAAAGGCTCAAGAATGAGTCTGTCCTTGACGACAGAGAGGACAAATTGTAAAGATGAGGAGGTGGATGAACACATGGAAGACCTCCTAGCTGAGCATTCTCAGTGCAACAATTGCCACGACGGCAGGCATTGAGCATGCCCACCATACACCCCCAAGAAATGGCATGTCGAGGCATTGAGCATGCCCACCATACACCCCCAAGAAAAGGCATGTCGATTGCAGGCCAAAATGAAGGAAGAATGGTCACCACAAAAGACCATGCATTCAGTATAGTGCCCACGGCCGCAAAATGCACATATAGTGTCCGGATGCGGAGGGTGTCTGCAGTCACGAACGGAGGGACAGTCCTCTGCACACATGGATGCAGAAACCATGTCATTATAATGATTATGACAAGGACGATGGCGGCTATATATAAATATACATCAGAGCGCCAAAGACAAAAAAAAACAAAAAACAAAAAACAAAAGGAAACAAGAAAGATATCAATTCATTTTTTGTCTTCTTACTTACAACTCCCCCTGTTCAAAACCTCTCTCTCTCTCTATATATATATATATATATCGTCACAAACAGAACTGCCCGGTAAACCGTTGGCAGAGAGAGAGAGGACAACAAACGAGGGGCTGTGACAAACTGTTTCGTCGGAGTTTCACCGACTCATCAGGAGGCTGAACCCTCAACAGTCTGCAGAATCCCCTCACTGATTACACTGTAAATGATAATCTACCTTAACCAAAATCAAAGTAGACTATCACTCACCCACACCAGATGGAAAACTCTACAGACTGTCGGTTCACACCCCATCACAAG